CCCTTGAATCGCTCAAAAAAATGAGGGGGCACGCGGTATACACCCGGGCCTCGTCTTGTAGCGTCCCCCTTCGCCTTCAGATAACCGTTTACGGTGTCCTTTGCCGGTCTATGGTCGAGCGGGCCAAAAAAACAGAAACGGAAAAAAAGAGGATTCGTGGATGGAAATCGCGATTGCGCCCGGCCCGGGAGATCCTAATGATTTCGTTCGTCCGCAAAATGGCCACCGTCCTAATACAACCGGTCGATGTTTGGAGAGAATCTCCTGCTCTCGAGACTGGTCGTTTCAAATATTTTGCTCGCCGGACGTGTCATCCCGGTGAGCAAATAAACCGCGCCCGATTGTCTAGAAAATGAGCCTCTTCGGGCTTCGAAACGCTGCGACACCGCGTAATCCGAAAGAAAGTTAGCGAGGCATGGAAAGGGATCGTCCATTTTGTCCGGAGACGGTTCAACGACACTTCAGATAACGTTAATCCTGATTAAGTGACCGTCCCGGCGACGTCGCGCCGAGCAGGGTGGAACACGAGATTGATTTAAGTCCGATTCTGGGATCGTCGGGAAGTCGCGAACACGTTGCCGGAGATCAGTCCGCGAGGAACGTTTATAATCTTAATTGAATCGGACGCGTATGTAAGCTCCTTTCATGGGCCCGTCTCTGGTGGCCTAGTTATGAGGCTGACGTGGAAAATGGAGCGAGCGAAGGATGATTTTGAAAGAAATTGGGGTTGATGTTTCGAAGTTAATCTTTGTGAGTAAAAGTAGATTGGTGGCTTACAATAATTGTGTATAGTTTGTGAATTGCTATTAGTTAGTAGTAAATAACAGTACGTACTAGTAAGAGATAGACAGAGATAAAATAAAATACTTACAATATTTTCTTTTGTTTTGTCAAATTAAATTAGTATTAGATCGATAATTTTTGATAAAAATGTGATGTATAGTGTGCGTAGAATGATACACATAATTGAAGATTACTGATTATGGAAGTTTGCAATACTTTTGAATGTTTCACGTTAAAATATTTCGAACCGAAGGATATAACGTAAATTCCGTCACAGCGACACAACTTTTCTGTATAATTAAATGAGGAGCTCCCGGAAAAGCCACTTCAGCCTGCTCCTAACACGTGTCCAGAACTTCCCAAAGCTGGTAAGAGGATTGCGAGCTTAGCAGGGTGTCGGAAGGGAAGAGCAAGTCCTCTTTCCAGGAACCTCGTGCTTCTATCGTCTTATCTGTCCAAGAACGATGCGTTCGAACTCATGAATGCGGAATGGATCGCGCGCCAGTTAGAAAAGAGGCAGCGCGCTGGGTTCATGCAGCACGAAGAGGCCAGTGTTTATTTTTTTTTATGAGAACACTGCTGCCATTCTGACAACTGTGAAATTCCAAAAAAATCTTCGAAGTTCTATCAGCTTGCTGTATATTTATATCGTAGCCATCTTCTGTTTTTCACAGAGGAAACTTTAGAAATTGTAAAACATTTCAAAAAAATTTCCAAATTTTCAACGAATAAAAATGACTTTTCCCATTTCTTACGTCGAACTTAGGAAACTTGTTTCAACAAACTCCATAGATAAACTTAGAGAATGAACGTATTCAATATTAAATATCCAATATTAACATACGGTATACTAAGATTTAAAGATTTGAATATTCAGTATTAACCCTTAACGATCGACAATTTTCTATCAACTCTGCGGATGAGACTGTCTTAAACTTCTAACATTGCTCTTGAAAAAATCCTGAATTATTACATCATACATCGAAGCCTTAAATACTGAAAGAAAAAGACCACGCGCCAGTCGCTTGTTAGTTGAATAATTAAATTAGAAGTCGCCAATACGGTAACATTCGTCCGTGAAGGATTAAAAGTTGCTCTACGCAATGTTTAAAAATTGCTTCATTTCACCGAGAAACCGTGCGCTACTTCGTATCACACACGTTGCATCGTGAAGCTCTTCACGTGCCGTAATAATAGAAGCGAGTGCAGGCCACAGTTGCGGCCTAGGAGGGAGACGGCCGACGAATAACAAAGTAGCGCGGGGAAGACGTTTGTTCCTTGGAAATTCCTTATCTCGGGTGCGTTCATCTTCCGCCAACGGAGACAAAGGCACTTAATATGTCCGGACACGTTAGTCGAATATTAATACACGACACGCCGTGTTCGCGGCACCCTCAGCGCCGACCGGAGCCACCCCGGCGACAATCGATCGTCCCGCATCGAACCGTGGAACGAGAAAAATCGGCGTGCCACGACGAACGTAAGAGGACACTTCCTGATCTTCGCCCAGCGATAATTCTTCCCGGCGTCGACGCTTTCTGGCAGACACCGCTAGAGACGTCTTCGAGTTACAGGGTTTGTTTCACCATTCAACCCACCTCGCCCACGGTTCTGTTTTATTTTGAGTCGAAAACTCGATATGTTTCGGTACACGCGCTCCGGGGCCAGCTATTATTCAGAGTGGAGAATCAGTGGAATAATTAATTTTCGATATATCAGTTGTGTAGTATCTTTTTGTAATCATCCGGGCGCGTTGATTGATAATTTATTGAAAACTGTAGATATCCGTGGAGTTCGTGGTGCTCGAGGAAATTACAGAAGGGATGACGTGAAAATGGAAATGGAAATGAGATGAAATGAATAAAATAATGAAAATTGTAATAAATTAATAATAAAGTAATAATGATGTAATAGTAAGATAAGGAAATTAATAATAATGGTAATGACAAAATAAAGTAACGATAATAATAATAATAGTAATAATTCAATTAATTAACAAATATAATAAAAATTCATTTTTTCATTCGGAAGATTGAAAAACATTTCTCCGCATTTTCATGATCATTAGACAAATAATCCTTAGCTTCCAAGAAAATTTAATTTTGCAGAAAGATCGCTGGTAATAGAGCTCAGTGCCCATTACGGCGTTAAATTCTAATAGGATTTGCTATTTTCCTCCAGCAGGGAACAGGAAAACGTTTCAAAGAAGGGATCTCGGGCCTCTATCTCATTTGCGGCGACAAAACTAGCCGACAGTTCGATCGGGCGACCATCCAGGCCCACTTTCCTCGGATGCCCCGAGCGATTCGCCCGAAATCCACGGAACCGTGTCATCATTTTTTCTCGGCGGTGATGAAAAGGTGAAATCATGCACCCTGGGCTCGGCCATCGGCTCCGGGCATCTGCGTCAAAGAATTCATTGGCCCGGCAAAGGGCTTTTTAAGCACACCCGCCGCGTTAATGTTGATTTTTTGACTTAACGCGACCGTGCCCGGTCCGCTACCGTTCGCCGTCACATCCTCGCGTGGAATTCCGTTCAGCTGCACGTGTGTCAACATCCCTTACCGGCCGACGCGCGATGCGCACAATAAATTATTTATAAACAGAACCGCGGCGCTCGTATTGACGCTGCGCGCAGGGATTCCCTGTGTTTGTGGCCCTGTCGGATTGTGTAACTCTGTCCCAATTGCGTGATCCCTCGCGCAGTTTCTGAAGAAACGGAAAATCTAAAGTTCGAAAGCAAGCGTTTTCATACAAAGATATAATAAGTTAATATAATTACAGAAATTTTTTCACTGAATACTGATCAATTTTAACGTCCTTTAGTTTTTAATTTTGTGTCATTTTTAAGAACGTTTTTTCAATAATTAAAATTAATCGATATATAGATAAAATCAAGTGGAGGATCAACGGACGCTATTATCAACGAAACGCATTCATCGCGTCATTTAAATTTCCTTTAAACTCCTTGCTCAATCCATTTAGAACCGTAACTCTACTAAGACACCTCTAGAATTCATGGTAATTCTTCCTTCCAAACCTCCTATCAACGATTCTCCGAACCATCTCCAGTCAACATCACCAAGAGAAACCTCAGAAGAGTTTGACTTCCGTCACTGATTGTATTTACCCTCTGAATCCCGCATGATACCAAGAATGGATCATTACAACGTTGCAGGTCTCTTGCAGCAACCTTCGAGTTCCATCGTCCTCCGAAGAAAAAGCCAGCGACTCATCTAACCCATTATTTCGAGGCGATTATGTGCTGGGCGATAATTGCACGTCACAGAAGGTTCTTCTAGCCGCGACGTAAAGACGCGGTTTTTCTGAGCGATCCGGCTCGAGAGCGTTCCATCCGGAGAGGCACTTCGCTCGAGTCCCGGGGAACTCGAGGGTCCCGTCCAACCCCTGTTCCGTTTCGTAAGAGCATAGAGCGGAGGTTGCAAGTCATTCCGTTCAGCGTTCACTGTGATTTGTCAGGGCTCCACGCGACGCGATAATGCGTCGTGACGGCTGCTGAATCCACGGAACTGGCGACGTATGGTTGTCTTCATCGCCATGGGACGACAGCTACCGTCTCCCAGCAAGCCGGGTCGGAGACTTCGATGCCTGGCAGAGACTGCGGTAGGCCGCGTCGGCGAGCCGTCGTGACTCGATGGAGTTAGCGCAATCAGTGATAGCGTTTGAGAGGAATCTTACTGCGACGAGGCTGAAAATACTTGCACTTTTTTTCATCTTTTAACACTAATCGTATCACGCCTGGTCAAATGACCGATACTTCCAAAATAAAAAAATGTGTCTATAGTTTTCCGTTCTCGTTAACAACGAATGCAGATAAGTCAACGATCAGCTATATTCTTTTCGCAAAAATATGATCGACAGTTAAAGTGCCGGTACATATAGTGTTAAGGCTCTATACTGTTAATATGATTTTTGACTAACATGCGCAGCAATATGGACTTTTATGGTCTGCCTTGGTTTTTTATTGTTACGACTTCCGTATAAATCTGAGAGAATTCTAAGATACTTATAGTAGTCCTTAATTTAATGTACAAATAACACTTGAATCGATTCTTCGTATCATTCTGCAATAAAAATTCAAAATCGTAATGAAGTTACGAAGAAATGAGATTTTCAACAGACCTTCATTGGTCCATATTGCCATTTATTTCCTATTTGTCTTGTACGTCTCCAACGGGTTTTCTTTTGTTTGTTTACTTGTTTCCCTTATTTTCTCTGTGGTCGAGTTATAGAGAAAGAATCATTGCTATTGAATCATTCTATATTGTGAGATTTAGTTCTGATTTGCTTAATACTGTAGCAAGGTGATACGGAAGGGAAAAGTAAAAAGATAAGTAGGCAATATGTAATATACAAGTAGGTTCTCCGTCGATCTTCATTCATATATTTACACGATATTTTATGAACATACGATAAACAGACAGGTATCATTCCATTTTATAAACTACTCTAACCGTTACTGTTAGGAATATGACTCTGATAAAATGCGCTTAGTCATTCAAATTTGGTAACAAAACCTTCCGCAACGCCCATCACTCTACTGTCAAATATAGTACCACTACAAATATAATTCGGTTATTTCTCTATACTGCTTTCAAAACGCAGTCTCTCGGATAAAGTCAAATATTGTGAGACCAAAAGCTTCTTAAGTCAATCTTTCCATCAATCTTGTACAAGAAGAAATAGTCGTTTAAATTTAAATAAAATGGATCAGCCTCGGTTTAAAACAATAACTTAGATTGATTTCGTCGATTCTTTCAAAACCAATTTTCACTATGATTAACGTACGAACAGTTTAAGCAGCGACCTCATCAATGACCAGTTTTCATTGATCTTTAAGAAAATAACGTTCACTGTACTTGACACAACGATTCAAATATTGATCTTGTTCAAGACCAATGTCCATTGATCTTTGGGAAAATAACGATCACCAGGCTCGAAATATGAACGATTTATATGTGATTGCTATTGTTCAAGCTCGTTATTTGGACATTCGGGACAACGCCGAATTTAGAAGCGAAATCCATAACGGTCAACGAGGACGGTTGCTTACTGGCCTCGTTGTTATTCGTTGCGTCCGCTTGTTCCGTGCTCTTGTCTCTCGGCCGATCTGTCGCCTCGGCCGATATGTCCTCCACCCTTTCCAAGTCCACGTAATAAACGTACCTCGCGATGTAGCAGAGCAACAGCATCTCGATTAGCATCAGGGCATCGTAGGTAACTGAAATCGGACGGGAGAAAGTAACAGTTCTTGTTCCCTTTATCTCTGTTCCATATGGAAATGTTATAGAGGACGTTACGACGCTCGTTTGCGTGTTAGACTTTGTCTCGAAGCACGGAGAATTTCAAATTAGAAATTGGGAACTGAAACATTCATGTGAAATGTTAAAAATCGTACGTTGAGAATTGAAACGTACGATATGGAAGTGTAGCCAGTTGAAATCAAACTTCTCAATCATATCTAATACGTTAGAATATTTAAAAAATTTCGAGTGTTACAATGTTAGTTAAAAGTAGAAAATCAGGTCTGCCGAGTAACCATAACTTAGAAGCAAACGAATAACCTACCATAATTGCTGAATACGTTAAAAATTTGTGATACAGTATCTCCTACAGAATTCAAATGTTAAGACCTAAAACCTGGTATTCCAAATTTCTAATTTTCAATTGCAAAATGAAAAATTGCAGAAGTTACATTTAAAGCTCAATGGCAACCACGTCAAAGGCCTAACAAACCGAACCAGAATTTCACCGAGTCCGAGACCAAAAATAAAACCTACTCCAGTGCTCGAAGTATGAAAGGAATTCTCCGGACTCGACCACAAGTTTATCGCTAGATCGCGTTCCGGCGTTACGTGCGAACGGTGCACAATAGCATCTCATCGAAATGCGAAAAGGCTGGAAAAGGAGAAGTAGAAGTAGTGCTTGGCGCCTATTATTTGGCATTATGATTGCCATTATTATTCTTTTCCCCGAAACCGAGAAAAAAGAAGAGAGATTACCATTCGCATAGATCTGCGGCGTAATTGGCGGATTGCATGGAAACAGGCCCGTTTGCGACAGACTCTTCACAATGAACCCCTGCAGCTTCGAGAACAGCAACACCATCTGGGACACCGCAGCTCTGTGCGCGAGTTTCGCCTCTGCGGAAATGACCGCGGGTCAGAAACCGTGTGTATCCATTAACGCCACGGGGGCGGGGGACAATGGGGGCTTTCCACGTCCGTGAAAATTGCTTCCCGTCCCGCGTCACTTGTGTGGTCCCGCAGGATTATCGGCAGCCGTTTAGCGGCGGTCGCTCTGTTCTTGCTTTCTCCGCGCCCAGAACGATGCTCGTGGAATATTTAAACGTGGAATTGAATTTTTATGCCGCACACACGATCGCCGCTCGTGGAAAACGCGCTGTCTATGCTAATTTGGAAGCGGTACGTCGGAAACGGAATGGCACAACATTATTCTAATTACGGTGTTCTTATTCTGAGTGTATTAATGTGTTCGGGAAATTGTTTTATGGCGGAAGATGTTCCAATTTGTTATTGAAAGAATCGAGGAAATTTGACATTGTTAGTTTGAAGACTGATATAAAATACACCAATCCGTCATTTCGAAAATTGATGAAAAGTATTCTAAATTATTACTTATTAAAGATTGATCAAATTTATTCCAATTTATTATTCAACGAGTCGGTGAAAGAGCATTACTTCAATTTGTTGTTACACAGATTTCCCACTTTAACCTCGTTTTATATCATTTCCTTGTTTAAGTATTGACCATGTTGTACAGGGGACAAGAAGTGTTAAAATAATTTAATATCGTCGCGATTACCCACGGCAACTGAGATACTTTTAATAAAACGTTTAATAAACTCTGCAGCCAAGATTGCGATCGTTGTGTTCAGCGAATTGATAATAGTACCGGCGAAGGATGATCGGACGAAAGCAAAGGGAAAGCAATGCAGAAAATTGCTCCGCGGTCGCGTGTTTTGAATAATTTCGTACGGCGGCGCGGAGATAACAGGACCAGATTATGCAGTCGGATCCTTCCTCTTAATTAAGCATACACGATTTTTACCTGGAGCGACTTCCTGCAGACTCTTCACGGTAATGGTTAGCCCGTATATTCCGAGAAGTATGCTAGTCACAGCGAACGGCTGCAGCCAGATGCCATATTCATTTGCCAGGCTTGGCTCTTCGATCGACATGAACAGCAGTATGCAACAACTCAGCGTCTAAAAAGTATTACGAATAATTTTCACTATTATCCTTATACAAGGAATACGCAAACGTCCCTTATATTAACCCTTTGCCTTATAATAACTTTTTAAAGAGTGCAAGTATTTGAAAGATTTTAAATAGAGTTTAACATTAGGTTTACGAACGTTTATTCCATGGTTTATTCTACTGTTTCTAGAAAGTGTGATGTTCGTTCGATCATAAATCGACGTAAACATTTACTAAATAATGTTTGGGAAACTTGACACGCGTTAAATTAACGCGTTGCGTAAATCTAGTGATAATAAGCTTAGGGATTGCTAAATTCTTTCGAATTCGAACTAATATTCTCCTGTTATCGAATATAATATTTCGTAACAAACATAGAGATAGGGTCTGCCGAAAATTGTTCTATTTGTTTCATGTAATGATTAACGACGAAGTACCTGAGTCGGTCATAGTTGAGAAGTACATCACGGGACAACGGATTAACAACCAGGTACCTAAATACCGATTTTCCTATTTCCTTCTATACAATTTATCGCATTCTCGTGAAAATTAGACAACGTTCCTTCAGATTCTTGTTTCCCGGACACTTTTACGTTAGTTCCCGTTTCGAAAATAATAAATTTACGCAAAACCATTGGTATATTGAAGTTCAAAGAAAACGCTTCGGTTGTTAACACAATGGCTCGATCAAGGATAAAGAAATGTTTTCTCAAGGTGGAAGTTCAAGGAAAGAGCACAAACTGTTTCCTAAGGGAGTTTCCCTTCGAGTTAATGATCGAGAAAGCGTTTTGTCTACGGAAAGGGGCGTAGAAGAAAGAGAAGTCAGCGGAAAAGAAGAAATAACCTGGATAATAGGGAGCTGGAGGACTAGCAGTCTGATCCAGGACAAATTGGCGTCGGTCATTACTAGCTTCGGAAAGGGCAGACAGGGCCAGCAGCAACAGGGTCCGACATTCAGCTTCAACCGCGGTGACGTCATGACCTTTTTGCGACCGAGGTAGACCAGCAACAGATAGAGCCGGTACAGAACAGTCATTAAGAAGATTTGAATAACCGCCTCTGACAGCAACTGCGTCCTGGAAAGTTAATAACTATTCTGTTAATTCTTTACTTGATAATAACGTGTTAGTCGCGCGACGAAAATTTCGAACAGAAGTTACTCAATATAAACCATATTCATTTCTGATGAAATTAATCCTTTGCAGATGAGAATAGTTTTCATTCCTGAAGTCTCTTTTCGTAAAATACTGAATAATGTATCGAAGTCTTAAATAGTAGAAAAGAAGTCATATTTCAATTTCTAGTGCTTCGAATGATTATATTGTTCAATTTTAGCTCTCGCTTTGAAATATCACAGCTATAAGTCGCCAATATGGCGATATTCGGCAGTAAAGAGTTAAATGTTATTTTCTTAGTTGTGAAAGAAATCATAGGTCAAGGTAGTAAGAAGAATACCAGTGTAGGTTGAACTCGAAAAACTCAGAGTACTGCAACTTTTTCGGTCATCAAGCCACCAAATTGTCTTCCCGTAACCTCATGTGTATAATCAAAGCGCAATTACGTTTTCGGGACTAAAATTGCCTTTTTAGGTCATCCTGGTAAAAAGTTGTGCGTGCACGCAGCTTCATGGGCACCATTAATATGCAGCCAACATTTCGACATTAAAGTCCTGGGACTTTTTACGCAATGGGAGCTCAGAATGGTCTCTATGCAATTTGAACTCTCTCAGTGTGCAATCAGGGTCAGATTACAATTCGGGAAGATACGAAATGTACAACATTATGTGTGCAATCATCATGCAATCAATTTACCATTATCAAAGTCCAGGTAATATTTTGGATGTCAAGGTGGGTAATGATACTTAAAAAAGTTTACGCTCGGAATCAACGCACAATATATTTCTGAAGACGAAACTCGGGGATTTCTTGCGCTGCCAGGATCAAGAATGGGCCGTGAGAACATTTTCACATTGGAGAGATATAAAGTTTATTCCAGAAAATTAAGATTTTGGAACTTTTTAGGTGATCAGTGTATAAAGTTTATATCTGAAACTTACAATTTTTGAATCTTTTAATATATTAATGTAATCTTTTGGGTTATCCAGGTAGATAATGGTCCATGAGACAACGTTCATATAGAAATAATGTAAAGTGTATTTTTCGAAATTAAAGTCTTGGAGTGTTTTAGCTCATCAACGTAGAAAATAATTTCCAAAGGAGTTTATGTATCGAGTTCCCACACAGCGTATCTTTAAAATTTAAGATTACACAAAATCCCGTACAAATTTGCATACGAAATTAGCGTACAGTCCACTTTCGAAGATTTAGATTACAGAAAGCAGTTCCCCTATGTGTTTGCATATCGAATCAGCGTACAATCTACCTTAAGAGATTGTAGAAAATGATTCCTGAGTAAATTTGAATACATCGTCAGTACACAGTCTATATCTGAAAACGAAAATCATGGAAAACAGTATGAAATCAGTGTACCCAATCATTCCCCAAAGATAAAAATTCCGAGACATTTCAATAAACTAGACTCAATAATCGTTCAGATACTTGGAGCATCATTTGTATGCGCAGTAGTTACCAAGAATATGTGGTTGCCCAAAAAGAACGTTTTCACAAAAAGCTTTTCCTCTGGTTTCGCGTCCAGAATATTCAGATCGAAAATTTTGGGAAAAGGGACTCGTCGAAAATATCAATGGGCTTTCACAGCGATGGAATTTTCATGTCACTGTTGTAGCGTACCCCGGGTTATCGGCGGAACCGATCAAATTTCCGACATCAGCTGTGCAGGTGTGACACTGGCCAAGAGCTGATGCGACGGTATCTGAGGAAATCAAGATCATTAGCCTCGCGGACCCAGTTTCTCCGTTTGTTTTCGAGGTCGTTAAAAATTGTTTCAAAAAGGGGCTGGCCCTTTTGTCTCTGCGCATCGTGTTGCTCGATCGAGTTTCCAGCTTTTTCTCGTTGCTCCTTAAGTGGATTTTCTGGTTTACTTCGTTGCCAACGCTTCGTTACCTACCGTGTCCAGACTGGTCCCGCCTTATCGGCTTTTTGTGTTCTCTGGTTCCTGCCTGCGAGCCTTCGTTTTATGAAATTAAATAATCTTCGACGCCTTTGGCTGGGCTCATGAGTACCATTTCAGTGATTCCGCGTGTCATTGAATTATTGGTATCAAATTTGAAAGGTTTGGAAAGTATTATTTTAGTGGATACGTTTAAGATTGTTAATGTAGTCAAGTTTGGAAGGATTAGAAAGTATTATTTTGATGGATATTTTTCAGATTATTCATGTGGTATAGTCTGAAAGGTTTGAAAAGTATTATTTTGATGGATTTGTTCGAATGTACAATGAAGATTATAATAGTAATGTATCTGAAGAGATTCAAGACTATCGAGCAAACTATGAAAATGATTAAATTGTCTTGTAATTAGAATATGATCGAGGATTCTGATAAAATTCAATTTGTCCAAATAGATCATTCAATTGAAAAATTACTTTCACAATTTGCTGGGAACGTTATGCTAGATGATTCTATCTAATCTGTAGCCTTGAGGAATTGTCTGCCGTGATATATTAAAAAAAAATGAATGGCACAGCGAGCAACCTAGATTTCGAGCGATCAATGAGTCTTGATCTTAATATCGACTGATTGATCTTAGTTACTCTTGATGTTTTTAAATAGGGTATCATCTCTAAATAGAATCTTCTCATACGCGTATTAAAAATTATTTCACAGTGTTGGTTAGGAAAGAGTGCAAAAGTGTACATTAAGACCTGTGAAAGTTCAATGTCGATTTATTATAACATTTATAACGTTGTGGTTCACCTTGGTATCCCTAATGCAGTCAAACTGCAGACACTGGCGATTGGATACACCAAAAGGATCATGATGCTGTTGGTCTTGTAAAATCTGGACTCCTTTTGGTAGAAAATGTTGTGGCAAGCATCTACGGAGAAGTAAAGGGTCAACGTGGAGAGTACCGCACCTGTACTCAGTAAACCTATCCCGAAAGAGCCTAAACCTGAAAAAAAGACAACATTAATATAAAATATATAAAATAATAACTAAGGAACTTTTTCAGTTTCTTTTTTAAAGAAATAATTTGTTTCATGAATGAGAAAGATTGAATTCATTAATTAATAAATGTTACATTCTAGTCGTTGTCCGTATATTTTTACGATTTAACAATTTCTTTCTATAAGAAACAGTCGCATAAAGATCTGCTGGAAGCTTATCGTAAAGTTTAGAAAAATGATTAATCGGTGCATGACTTCTGTTCAGATTCAAATATGCTACAGATAAATAGAAAATATCGAAACAGCAGTAGAATAATACTTATTTGTACTGTCTATTTAAATTCTGATTAACGTCGCAATAATATGTACTTATTTATCTATCGAGCAAAACAGTCGCGGAAGCGAGGATACGGATGATCGATTACAAGAGGTGGAGGTGAATGTATCTACATTGTAAAAAGTTTGTGTGATACATTTTCATTGAAAATTGAAATTGCTGAAGAAATGTTTGCAATTACTTTATCGATAATTGATCCGTGTTAAATGCAATTACGGCACTTTCGATACGATACAAAAATTAATTACTTTTTAAACAAGTACACTTTACTTATTAAGTTCAAAATTGGACTTTATGGCCCAGGTTGCATTAATACATTGAATACATTTCTACAGATCAGGTGCCTTATTTATGTTACGAAATAGCTTTTTTAGTGAGATGCTTGCAACATATGGATTGAGAAACTCGGTATTATAGATATTAATAGTACAACAAAGAGCATAATACTTAATTTTCTTTCAAAAAAGGAACAAAGAATTCAGTTACTTCTTTACAAGCCCAATTATTTAATTCGAATAGTTCAATCAATTCAGCCAATTGCTTCAAACAATTCCATCTGTAGTTCTCCAGAATCCTTAATCCTCTTCTCACAAAAACTTCACGTAAAAAGCTTCATCGTTTAACCATTACTATCCGACGTCATAAAAAATGAACGACGAAGTTAATAAGGCAAGATGAACCACCGCCGCCTTAAATACGATGTCAACCATATTAAAAAGTAACCAACCGAGGGATTCATCCGCCTCGATCGCGGACATAAGACGACGACAAGGTACGACGAGACACCTCAGCCGCGACAGAGAACGCGCAATCAGAACAGAGAGGAAAAAAAGGAGTCGTTCGATAAGTTATTCTATGCATTCGGGCGTGCAGTTGCATTAACCGCGGCGCATCGTTCACGTCGCGAGAGAAGATTGCCTTGTCCAACTTTTCCCCGAGGACAAAATTCACCCTCGTTAAAAATTCATTGCAGTGAATTGATTCCCCGCCGTAAAGGCGGGATCGCTCGCGCGGATGCGTTACACTGTTGCAAAATTCGCGGACGCCCAGAGAAAAGGACGAGCAGCGTAATTCGACAATTTAAATCAGCGGACACCGCCCGATCATATTCATTTATTCCACGGCGACGCGGCGGCGATTTTTATTCCCTTTCCGAGCCCTTCGCCTGCAGAACCTGTACTTCATGCAAATACGGTGCCAGTTTCGGGGGACCGCGTAATCAAGTCTCCCTGAGAATTTCGACGTGAAGTCAAATCTCGGTGCAACCGACGCGCAATTTTTCGGTGAAGTCACTTCGGATCCTTTGACGCGTCGAGCGCCACGTGATTTCACGAAGCGAAGCTTCGTGTGGAATAGAAAAAAATATTATGTCAGATGATTTAATTCCTTGACATAGTGTACTCGAAGATTTCAAATACAATTTAGCAAATATGACGATTGACGACCTTAATAATATTTATCTTTGTATCAAGTGTCTATTATCTAAATGCAAGTCGACGCGAAGGAGGTAAAAATGGAGTGTTGGAGCAATTTTTCACGTGATCAAATTCCAATATTTATTTAAATCAAAATAATGTTGTGGATATATGGATACATTGTTTTGCAGTTAAAGTCGGAATGGTTTTTAAATAACCAGACTAAGACCAGATTCTAAATAACTAGTGTATTCGCTAATACACGAAAGTAATCATTTTGAAATTCATGAATATAAATATTCGTTTCGTTCCTGTTCCGGAATGGTACCTAAGGTGGACGATTATTACTCCCAAGTTGCGTAATTATTGCTTTTCGAGGAAGCTAAGCGTGTTTCGCGTCGAAAACACAGGTCGGACTGTACAAGTTATGAACTCTGGGCAAAACTTTCACCGTGGCGATCTCGTTTGCGCATGCTCCGTGGATCGGAGCACGAGAGGAATCACTGACACACAGTATCTGTTATCAGCGATTGAATAATCGATTACCACGAAGAAGATACCGATTGTTTCTCATCGCACCTTCCACGAAAGTAATAATTCCCTATTTTTAGACTTAACGATTGCAACATTTGACAATGTTATTTATAGACTTGGATGGCGAGGAATGTGTCAGTTTGTCGAGGACCACGTTGTTTGTGAAACGGTACACGCCGATTGGTGGCCCAGAATGTCTCCTGTCTTACTTTCTACCAACGACGAATGCAATGTCGTATACACCAAATGAATGAGCGCTTGCTCGTCCATTATTCCGATAAAGTAGACGACTAAACTTTATGCATTTAAAAACTCAATTCAGTATATTTGAATAATGCTGGTATAATTTGAAATACAAACGATGATCCCATGAAAAGCATTTGCTAAACATTCGTTTCTTTCACAAGTAAGGCTCACAGCGTGAAAAACTATTGAACATTTGTCTATTGTAAAGGCACAATACTGGCACGCAACAATTTCAACACATTCGTCAATCTTTGCTGCCAATCAGCGCAACTCTAACAAACACAATCCAATCTATATAAACTTCATACTTTCTGCGTCGATTCTTATAAAACACTTATACAAATTACACGTTTACTGTTTAAGCTGTATATAACCCAACCTTCGCGAAAGTTGATCGAAGAACGTGCACGCTAAAAGCATTACTCGTCGCTTGTCAATATAGCAGGGGGGACGCTCTAAAAATGAACACTCCTAGCATTTAATAACTTTCATACGAATAAACTCAATCCTTAACCGCCACGAAAATAATAGACATAAAATCTGTACACAGCGTGTATTACACAAACAAATTATTAAGCTAGAAGCGAGACGCTAAATTAACTGGACAATTACAATTTTAAAGTTTAACGAACTCAGCTAACAAACAATTAACAATCGATTATGCTCAGCAGAGCGAATCCGTTCTCACTCGTTCGCTGAGTGAAAGTACAAAGGCACTCACTTTCTATGTATTCGATCGCGGAAGGCACATATTCCTCGTCGCAGGTGAGGTTCCTGTAGGAGTTCAATGTTTCCAGTTCGGTCAGCATCCTAGCGGCGCTGGTGATCTGGCGACACGTAACCTGGTGGTTCCTTTGTCCCTTTTCGTCCTAGGATTCAGCCAGTGTCCGGCGCGACGCGCAATCGGGGAGAAATGAACCCGCGGTATAGAGTGTTTTAAAAACGACAGGGCAGCCGGAGCCACCTTAGTCGACGAACAGTGAGAGCCAGTCCCCACTTTTACCGCCGCCTGATCGCTGTGTTGTAACGGATCGCTGGAAATATCAATATTACCGCCGATAGACGGTTTACCGTGTACCCTCGGTGCCTTTTGTTTTCTTTAGCTGTGTGCCCCGACGGAACAACCGCGATTTTTTCCTTCGCCGCTGCGCTGCTTGGAGGACGGAACGAATTGCGGAGCAACTGCGCGATCGAGTTCACACGCGGATATATTGTTTCTGCGCTTTCTTTCGCGGGATTCTTTGCTGATTTGAGGAACGGCTGGCGATTGACGTTTCAGTGAAAGTAGCGGAAAAAGTAGGGAGAGGTTTTGCGTTTGATAACTGGTTTCTTGGGATTATCTGGTTTTTAGGGAAACTAGGGAAGAAAGTGATTTTGTGGAATAAGGAAGTTTTAAGGGTTTTCGTGAATTTTTTGTTGATTGACTTTGCTTGTTGAATTTAGCGGTTTAAACGATACGGGTGGTGAAGGGAGTTTGAAGTTATTGGTGCGCTGTCTTGATCGGTAGAGTAGGGAGTTGCCTTAAGGTAATAGTTGAGTGGTGCTTTACCTACTGGAACTTTACCCACTGATGATAGAGGAATTCGATAGGTAACTTTGATTTGTTTGTGTATGGAATATGATAAGATAAAGTATCTGCCTAGTCGTGTAACCAAAACATTTAAAAAATTATGATTTTATGTTATAAATATATTGTAATAAAGTAGACGAGCCAGGTGTATCAGACATTAATTTCAAACTTTAGAAGTTTGCACCTTTATCTTGACTATTCCTTCTGCAACCTGCTCACCATATTATTCATAAAGAATTATGAATTGATACTTCCACAACGCCAAACAATCGTCCACTATAAAATGTACAGTACTATAGAAATACAATTAAAAAGTTGACACGAATGCAATCATCTTCGTCATCTTCTTTTCAGTTCCAATCTCTTATACTTATCCCCTATTTTCCACAAACGAATCCACCTTCACAATTCTTCAAAACATAAAGTGTCCTCCTTACTACAGGTCTAACTCTTTAAACATGAAAAGAGTGATAAAAACTCACCGTATTTTACATACTTCCTCCAGGTACTAATCCTTCACCTCCTAAAACGAATCGAGATACGTTCTCTTCAGCATTCGCCGTACGTGCAAAAAGTTAATAAACGCCGAGTATCAAATTAGGGGAGCAACCGGTACCGCCGCGCACACTTTCTTTCTCCTTGAACTTGAAAAATCGCGCTGGCTTTCCATTTCGCATCGCCGCGGCGAAGAAAGCGGGTGCATTGATCGGATGCTGTCGACGGCGCCGAAAACCAGTGAACAGGGGAGGGACACGCTCCCTGTACCGTGTACCTGAGGAAGCAGACAGATGAACCGAGCCGCGTGCACGAGGACAGTCGAGGTGAAATAAGCGGGTAAGATAGAGAGAGAGTTCGAAAGTAGGCCTTAGTCGTTCAGTCAGTAGTCAACTGCGTCCCCAGACGATTGGTTGTCGTAATGGTAAGTTCCTCGGTGTCATCGTTCCGGATGTTTCATTTCTCGTAACCAAAGCCGCAAAACGTTTCCTGAACGTTCCATGCTAGAAAGTACCGCTGAAGCCAGAAATTTCAATAGTGTCAGCATCGCCAGTCGTGATAGCGAAGATTCCTGTGACGGAAAAGTGAATTTGTTCGCGGACGATCCAGAAAGTTGACGAAACTCCTTTTTCTTAGTGGTCAACTGCCTTAGCAGCATTGTTAGTTTTCACGGTTACATGGGCTCCGAGGAATAAAACTGTTGACGCGTTAGTGATAATTGACTCAATTGCCGGGGCAATTTTTATCTGGCTGCTTGGCCCTGTGCTGGTGATTCTGTGTGAAAGTAGAAAATGAAAATACGTGCGAGGAGCAGCATGGTTTTTCTTGTGAGTTCCTTTTTTGTGTTTGTGTCTTTTACTGTTCGTTGTGTAGACGAGTCTGCGTATATCATGAGTGATTTTATGGACTGCTTGTCTGTATTCTTTTAGTTTGTTAACCAGGGATGCCAAATTATTTTGTATTCATGTATTATTGTTCTGGCATTAGTAGTTGGTTTATTCAGTTAAAAAACTAAAAATGTTTGAGAATACAACAATGCTAAACTTTAAAAAACATCTACTCTTTTCGTCTCAGCAATTAACAAAAAGAATCAAACCATAATTAGAAACCGTAACAGTAACTACCAAAATCAAACTAACTAATCTAAGAAACTATTAAAATTCTGTTTTACTGAATAAAATACCTTAAACTCGTGAAATTTTTATGAACTACTATCGAACTATCAATGAATTGAACTTTGATAAGAATGTTAAACTCAAGGCTCACCGATTAGAAGGATTATCTTTAAATGAAGACCTATCCACCGAGCACGTTGCCTCCAAGTAGTGGCGCAGGGATTACAGAATCGCGATGTTCGCGTGAAAAGGGTCACGTCGTCGAAGACGAAAGTGACTTTCGTTTTCGAACATCGTTATCGTGGATCGTTCACCGTGTCCGCCGCTCGTGGACGTTAAATATAACAACGCAACGATCGTAGGTCTATAAAATCTGAAGGAAACAAGCGTTTCCGTTTTCTCCTAAGGAAATTTCGTTCGCCAAGATATTGTTTATTGTTAACGGCCTCGGGAACCGCGACCGCTCTTCTAATCCCGTTTCAAGCCAGCCGGAAAATAGCAGTGATTTCGAGAAGCTCGAGCATAAATTCTATTCAAATTAGAAAGTTCCCGGGGGAATGTTCAAGGAAGGGTTACATGGTAAAAATATCGAATTATCGTGGATTTCGTAATTCGTGTTATAGAATTAGTTACCCAATACCTCGATCGACAACCGAACAGGCAGTGGCCACGTGATCACGCCGCGAAGAACTGCGGAGTATGTGTTACAAAATGATTGCAGTAATTTCCTTTAAATAATTATTTCGCGGCCGGGGCTAACGGTTTTGTCGGGAAATCGCAGACATCGCAACACGCGATTGTCTTTCGTGTTCTTTTTCTGGCTACTGGCACTGTTTCAACGGAAATGTATCGTTTGAACAATTTAAGTAACATTCGTTGGATTCCTAGTGCGATTCGAGGTGTGTGAATTGGTTGAAATGAAAAGAAAATTTGTGGTAGTTAGTTTGTAATCAGTTGTAAACGTAGAAATCATGAACTTGATAAAATAATTGAATGTTCTAAAAATATTTATATAATCATTTTTCACAGAAAATTGAAGTTTTTCATATTTTGGTTAATCTACAAATTGGGAGATTTAATTATTTCAATGTGAGAATTGAATGTTTGATTGTTGTTTCTATCTGTTACATATTATTTGAACGAAATTCTGTCGACTTTGATTCTAAGTCTCGATGCACTTTGAAGTCAACGATTGCCAATACGCTGACTATAAAACGAGGGAGTACTGAGCACAGATCGACAAGTTGGACTTTCTCGTCCGGTCATTTCAGTCAAGGATAAATTACAGGAGCCGCTTAATGAATATGAAAGAGTTACTTTTAGATTTTTTTTAAAGGACACACGCTACGAGTGTTACGCAAAAGCAACGGCGCGCTCTAAATCCGTTGATCCTCCGCAGAACGATGCTTTTTACGTAATATACTTTTTCCGATTTCTGATACGTGATGTGATTTATACGGGTAAATAAAAAATTATGAAAATTCAAATTAATCTGTAATCGGGGGATCAACCTTGAGGCTTGAGGAACAATTCTCTTTTTTATTGAAATGGGATGCATGGGTGAATCACGCATCACGAATCACGCAAATTCAACGGAATCTAGGTCAGATTTGTGTGATCACCAGGAATAAACATGTGAAAATTAACGGAGATGTTTGTAGGTCAGCGGGAATCCCGTTAAGATTTAGTAAACGATGGAAACGATTATGGTTGTGACGCGTTTCTCACTTTCACGGAATTTTTAGAGTTGAATATTTTCTCAGGATGAAATTCTCTAGAAAAGAGATTCAAAATTTGAAAAAAACAGCTAAATTTCATTTAATTACATTAAAGATACGATTAATTATTTTTTATTGTAAAAGAGAAAAGGGGCCATAAAAAACATTAACAAAACTTCCTAATACAATTTAAAACAAGCAATTAGACCAGTTAAAAGAAAGATATTGAAATGAATGTAAACGAATCTAGGGATCTACGTTTACAAAGCGTGATTAAATTTCGCGGTTAAATTTCAATTAACTTAACACAGAACTGAACCGTACAAATCACCAGAAAATTACTTTCTAACTGTTCTCTAGACGGTCTATTTAATAATTGTTTGTGCAGCTTGCGGTTTTCTGCCTGCTGCTCGTCCTCGGGCTAGGTCACGGCCAGGACAATGATCTTCCATCGAGGATGGAGATCGAGAGCTCGATCAACCGTACGATCGAGGAGGTCGAGCGTCAACTTCGCGAGGACCCTAGGCTGCCCAGATTAACTAGGCAAGATATAGTGAAATTCCTTCAGAACATCACGTCCCAGGATTTGAAGACTTTCAAGGATAAAGAGAAGGTTGAGAGAGCTAGGAAGCTGTACCAAAGAGCACTGATGGTCGTCCTGCCTTATAACGCTGAGTCAAATGGGAATCTGAATGATCTGTACACGAAACCACCGATGGTCCAGATGATTCCAGATTTCAGAAACACAGAAAACTACGAAGCTAAGGTAAAAGAAGACTCAAAGTACCAAGTTGCTTCAAATTCTCCAAAGCTAGAAAAGGACAAGACTAAAGTTAACTCGAAGACGCAAGTCCAGTTAGAGTTACCGAGGTCAGGGAATGAAGCCAAAATCAACGAAGACGAAAGCGGAAAAGGAGCTATTATTGATCTCTCCATTCCTTCGGCGGATGAGAACATGGTGTCAGATCGGGTCACTTATAAAACGCCTATAAAAGATGCGCAATCTACCACAACGAAGAATCAATACAAAAACCACCGTGAGACGTACTCGGACGTGCGCACGAAGGTCCCTTTAAAGGAAACGCTGAAACTGGACTCCGCGCCGGTTAGGTTCACGTTCAACCTGGAGAATCTCCAGAAGAACGCAATTCCTGTTGAGAAGATGACGACTGCCAGGTACCCAGTTTACAAGAATAACGGGAACAAGAACCCCGAGTTGGAGATCGTCTACAGCACCAGCATCACTGAGCTGCCTACCACGAAGTCATCAACCAAAGGAATCACCATTGATTTAGGACAGTCTAGAACCAGCCACAATGTCCTGTCGTCGAATCAGTGGCGTTATAATGCACCACCGAGTACTACTTTGAAGCCAACAATGCCTTCCAAACTTGAGAAGGTCCCTTTTTTGCCAACTATCAATACAGATGCTGAAGAAAGTTCTGTTAAGACATTACCAAAAACACCAGAAACGATCGTTATGGACTTTAAACCTGCTGAAGCATTGATTATGGACACTAAAAAGCCAACAGCTCTTTATGTCACACCTATGCCTACAGGAACACCTTCTAAAGTGAAGTATAGTTCAACTTATTCCATCAATTCAGCAGGTTTTCGAGCTGCCACGTCTACAACCACGTCGGTGCCTATGAGGCCAGAAGTGATGGAACTGTTAGCCTCCATTGGTCTCAAACCAGATAACAGTAGCAACGTAGAGGATGTTTACAAGAAGAACAAAGACATTCTTGGGAATAAGACCCAGATTCCTGAGTTGAACGGCGTGGTACCGGGTTTGGTGCCCAGTTTGTCTTCAACTGGTCCAGATCCAGTGTCTATTCTTAGTCAGAACACATTCAGTAATTCAGCATATGAGATCAAGAAAGGCGTGGCTAACTTGACGCCTGACGTGCAGCTGTTGTTCCAAAGGTTCGGTCTCCAATCCCCTAAACTTGATCCATCGACAACGACTACAGAGAGGACGACTATCAATTTCAATGACTACACTAATTTCAAGCCTCTCCCCACGTCTAATGTGAAGGACCAAGGGATGAAAGAGTTCTTGGCTAAGTTTGGGTTGGGGATCAATGATAACAGAAGGCAGAAGTCTATGAAACACGCGACGGAAGCTTCTTCGGTGGTTGAAGCTGTTCCAGACAGCATGAGAGGCATTCTAGAGAACATGGGACTGGTGTCTAGCACTGTTAAACCAAGGAAAAGTGTGAACAAAGTGGTCGAGGACATGGAATCCACAGAGACGTCCAAGTTTCACGTGTTCAAGCCTCATGAAGTAAATGTGGACGATGAAAAGCAGAGAGTTAAGATCAATGAGCTTCTAGATACAGTGAAACTGGTTCAAGAGGGTAAAGCTGATATTCACAAAGTGAAGAAGGTGGCTAATGACTTGTTGGAGACTACTAAGATATTGAAGGATGGACCCGATCCTTTGAGACTAGAGGAAATCATCAGGACTTACAGCGAGGATGTCAGGAACGAGATAAAAAGGCAACAAGAGGATGAACAACCGGAAACGACCACGGTTGAGGCTGCGGAGGAAGCGACGACTGCTTCCACCACCACCGCCACAACTGGTATTAAGAAATTTCTCTTATACGTTTTGGGAGGATCAGAGTTCTGGATTAGAAAAATCATTCAGGGACTAACGAAAATCCGGGGTGTACTAACGAACATGTATAACAGGTTCAGGCGTGGATCTGGTTGAATGATTGGTGTTCCTTCTTGTTGGTGGTCACTTCTGGTTTCAAATCTTCTCTATTCGAGTTACTTTTCTTTAAGACTTCAAAGGGCTGAATATCCATGACTTGTACCTCCATGGACTTCATGTAGTCATTTGGGAAGTTCATGTTGTTGCAGATACATTCTTGGCTATATTTTAAAGGCTACAACTGTAGAGTCTAAGACTTTTCTTAATCTCTTATTGTTTAACAATCTGAATAAATTTTTAAAAACATAATAAAACGAAAATCTATTGAGGTGTAAAAAAAGTTCTATAAAGTTATTGATTGAAGGTAGTTTTACAATAAAATAGTGAATGATAGAATTATAAAATCATCTGAGAAAAAGACATGAGCTTTTCAACGTTTCACCAGCATCGGAGCTGAAGAACTGATGTGCTTGTGTAGCAAGCCTTACTCTATTAGTTTTCTTTTTTACATTATAGTTACGTGACCTTGAGGCGAATGGAAGACGTATCTCGACGCTATCTCTCCTATTAACTCAACGTCCCCATTATACCTCTCTGGTTTTTCCCTCGCGTGGAGTTTCACTTTCATAAGAAGACAGTGTTCGTTTCTTAAAAAGGACAATTGTCAGTGGATGATTGATATCAAGCATAGTCACTTTCTCCTCTTTTCTTCTATTCATGGCTAATTATGTGAACTAGAGACACTAAACGAGGTATTTCTCAGGGTTTCTACGTGACTAACTGCCAAATGGAAACCATTAACGCATTTTGTCCTCATCTTGTGATCGCTGTGTCCATTATATACCACCTAGACAGCAGATCTCACGCATCTATGGAAAATACGAATGCAAACAGTATAAAGTAGAAAAATTTTCGTAAAAATTTCGAAACAGCATTCCTTTATTTTCAACTTATTAAGATTCTTGGGAAAGGAAATAAATCTTCAACTTATTAAGATTCTTAAAAGAGGAAATTAATTCTCAATTATTTAGTTTCATTACCTCATTTTGTAGTAATCATTGACATTACTTTAGATCTGTTGAGAAAATTTTTCTCTCGCATAAAGATCCGCTGTCTCGCATCACATTTCATCTCTCTAAAGTGCATGGATCCTGTTGTGTCTCACAATCTCGTTGTCTATCTTCCGAGTTTCTGTAAACGATCAATTGGAGAATCGTTCTCCGAGGTCTACAGACATTCAACAAAAGGTTCGTGATGAAACTTGCCAACAGAATCGGTCGAAGCGACGACAGATTCGGCGAAAGCAGCCTCGGAGCAAAATGGCGACACCACCACGCCGGCGACCGAGGTCTCTTCGTCGACCTCGAACCTGATGGCACTGGAGGAATCGTTTGGCGGGACGACCAGCGCACCCGACACCTCGCTGCCGCCAAAACGGAACAGCGGACTTTACTTTCTGGTAGATTGGAACACTTTCCTCGAAGTCGGCGAGGATGAGAAGGAGAAGATAAACCTGAGGTTCCAGCCGAAAGTCGGCGACCGGACGAGATTCTTACCTGTGACCGTACCTTGAGCGTTGATAACAGGATCTTCTATGACAAATCGAAACCGAAATATGTTATAAATAATATTAAAATATTGAACAATATGTATTACTCGCGGTTAATCATACGTGGACGAGAATGTGACAAATGTATTTCGATTTCGATTTCTTGGTTTTGTGGAGGTTGTAAAAAAAGGTCGAATAAGGGATGGTTACTTTCGGACGTATCCTATTTATCGGTGGATAATGTAATTTATTGGAATTGTTAGTAAACATTATTTAATGGGAATTGAAGCGGTTAGGTTTACTTTGGTAGTATGTAAATAGAAGACTTACAGACAATTTATTGCGTATTATAATCAGATAGTGGATTTTTATGGATTTCTAGCGTATTTTGTTATTTTGTACAATTGATACGTATATGTGATTAATTAAACAACGAAACGTTTCGAGTTGAGGTTAACATGAATTCTATTTTCTTAATAAAGACGTATAAGAAAATAATATCTCATGAATATCCACGATCTATTTGTAATGAACAGTTATTTATACCTGTTGTTTGTAATTGTTTTGTACAAAAATGTTGAATAAAAGAGTTTTCCGCAACGGAAACAAGGAATTTATATTGTTTGGCCTACATACATATGAAAGTATGTAATCAGCACGAACGTGGTGTTTAAGTCTATCGATTAATAAATAATTCTGCGCGTGAGGTACGAGAAAAATGAAGAATCCAAGTGAATCCGTGAACAACTTGTTCCTACTGCGATAATTAAATATCTGTTCTCGAAGGTACTATTTGTATATTACTAATTGAGAACCGCTGTTACGAAATCCTTACTCGAAAATATTTGGAATCCTTGAATGCCGCGCGAGCACAACATTACACATCGGGTCTCGAAGCCGCAATGTTCCTATCAAGCTTCACTCGCTCGATTTTCCTTTTTATCTTCTTCTCCGGAGTGGTCACGAATTGTTCTGATCTCGAAGAAGCTGTGAAAAATTTGCGACAACTAGTGAATACAAAATCTTCGCGAGTGACACGGGATTCCGAAGATATTTCGACGATTTGGCTCGATTACGAATTCAATAGTGGCGCTGGGAACAGAGAAGGTAACCGTAATTAGCCAAGAAAACCATTTCTAATGTTCTTATTCAAAAGTGAAAGAGTATTTTTATTTTAGAACTCGTCGTGAAGGATATTTCCATCCATGAATACTCAAATCTTCCGGAAACGGTTTCCCATTGGCAATTCCTGGAGATAAATGGCACCGGTTTCTTGATCCACACCGAGAAATCAATTTTATCGTTTCACAAACTTGATCTGGATAACGTTTCCACCGGAGATCCGGTGACTTTAAACGTCACCGGCGTTATATTGACGTATAAAGTAATCGGATTGAACAATTTTCAATCAGGAGATACTTTAGAAGTGGACGTTGTAGCTGTTTTATGCGTGAAATCGGGCAGCGTGACTTCCTTGCAATGGTACAGGCTCCTCGATGGCGAGAGTTTCCAATTTTTCTGGCTGTGGCCGGTCCAGAAGCACATCAAAGACTTGGAATTCATTCAATATGGCGATCGAAAGGAATTATTACTGTTGGAGGAGGATGAGATACTATTTGGGGCACAGTATTCGCCTGTTAGCGTTTATAGCTTCAGCATCGATTTTTCGAACAATTTCTTTCATTTCTGGTGATGCACTTCTCTTACAAAATTCTTCTTTTTTAACAAATGGTTTTAGACTAAATTTTATAGTTGATAATATTACGATAAGTAAAATGGTAAATGTAAAATTTTTATTCATTTTTATTTCAAGAATCGAACAAATTGAAGTTTGTACGTATCGAATCAAACAGAATTACAATGATTTTATACGATTTAAAATAATTTTAAAAGATTCCAATCAATATAGTGTTTATATTAGTTTAAATTTGAATGAATTCGAAGGAGCTGAAGTAATGGAAAATATTTTATTTAGGCTCACTCAAAGGTCACTTGCACCGAAAGTGAACGAAATGCAAATCTGCCCGATCTACGAAACCATGTCCTTCGCTCTTCAAGGCGACAGCGATGTATTTCTCTATGAGTACAAAGACATCACCGTTGATACCATTTTCCAACCGCTGCAAACTATCAAATCACAAGATTTGAGGAACCTTGTATGCTTCGAGAGCGGTTACTTGCAGTTTCTAGCTATATCAGGACCGGAAGCTGGCCTCTTTCACTTCTTCGAGGGTGAATTTCATTACAACGTCGAGTCTGAAGCCAGTTTCGGTGAAATTTTTTGTCAGACATTTCTATGATCGTTGAAATTTGAAATGAAATTGTTAATACCGCTCTGCAGATGTCTCAGAAATATCATGGATCAAAGATATCAGACTGGATACATACAGGGATGAATCGTTATTACTTATCCAACTGAAAAATTCGACTGTGATAGCTTTAGCCTGGCAAGGATTAAGTTTTAAAAGAATACAGTTGCCGAGTAACGTGCTCGATCATTTTGATTTGTCGAAGATCACTGTTATTCCGAAATTTGGATTCATTCTGGGAAATAAGTTTGTGAAATTTCACACTGAATTAAAAGACTTGAAACATCCGTCTCAGCATACCACGGAGAGATTATTAATTTTGCAACGTTTGTTAAACGTAAATAGTGCTTGATATTAAAATTAAAAATATAAATATGTTATAAATATTGAAATATTCTTTTAATATAATTGGTATAATATTATAATTTTAATATTATATTTAAAAAGTCCACAGAAAAATTACGAAATCAATTCTAATATTTTTTCAGAGCCCTTTGCACCATCAGGAAGAAATTTTTAACAAAACGGAATCGTTTCTCGAGAAAAGTTACTTTAAAAATCCCGTGGTCACCGGATTTTGGAACGTGAGCGAAGTGAATGCGGAGAATGCAACCATAACCGACAATGTCACGTATCATTACATTACAGTTGGATCCATGAATCTAACGATTGAGGATTTAAGTGTCAACGCGACCGATTACACGGAAAAACTTAAAAATTTGGAACGCAAGCTTCATCGAATCGATTCTAATTTGGAAAACGCTCTGGATTCGAATTTAACCGAGCTAAATCTTAATTCCGAGTTAGAAATATTTGGAAATATTCATGTTCTAGGAAATTTAACAGTGGAGAATTTAACAGCAGAGTTCATTAACAACATCGATGTGTCGAAAAATGATTTTCCATCTCGGAATGAGAATGTAATCCGAGAACTGAACAAGCTTTCTAGCATAATAGCTGATAATTTGACCATCTATTCGTTAAACGGTATTCCATTGAGTGATATTCGTTTTTCAAATTCGTTTAAAGATTACAGTGGAATCGATTTTTCAAAGGTAACACAAGCTGTTGTGGGGGGCGATTTGTTTTTCGAGAAGATTAATGGAGTCGACTGGGACTCCTTAATGAAGAATGTTGTGTGGAAGAATAAAAAAACGTTTATCCCTGGAAATACTGTCGTTGAAGGGGTAATATTAATAGATTATTATTGACGACGTACTATTAATAAAATATTTTTTAATCACCTTGAAACTTACTTCTGAAGTTCAAGTGATTTTTCTGTAACTGTGTTTAAAACAAGAAATCGATTAAAAACTAACAATTGGGTCAGAGTAAACATAATTTTGAATGGATTCATATTTTTTAGTTTTTAAATGTGTATTAAAATAAATTCTTTAAATATTTTGCTACGAGACACCTCCAATTTTATTTTAATTTAAAGATGCATATAATTAATAATTTTAGACGCTAATCGCAGACAATGTAGAGATAGAAACGCTGAACGAACTCGAATATCCAGATGACTATGTTCTGATCAACGATGACATGCCAACGAATGTAACTGGCAGAAAATCATTTAACCAGTTGCTCGTACAGGACCTGCATGGGCTGAAAACGATAAATGGTATTGACATCGACGATTTCGTAATTCTGCACAAGGACAACGTGTTGAACGAGGAAATTACGTTCGAAAATTTGGAAGTAGAAGGTCCTACTCAGGTAAATTACTAAAATTTCGAATGGAATATTATATTATTATCTGTAAGTAATTGAATAATGCAGATTGACGGTGAAGTAGTCGGAGCAGAGAGGGAAGAAGTGAAACTGATAAACGAGACCTCCGAAATTACGTCGCACATTATCTTCTCGAATCTGACAGTGGTGGGGAACATAATCTTCGAAAATTTGTTCCACACTAAGAATCCCTTGCACTTTGACGATTTATTATTGAAAACTGATGAAAATGTTAAAATTACTGGCACCAAGACATTTTTGGGTAACGTTGGGATGAGAGGCAATGTAACGATCACGTCTGGTTTAATTAATGGACACCCGATAGAAGATTTCGCGACCACAAACACTTACCAGGAATTTCCTAGTAATGATACAATTTTTATAAACCATTTAAAAAGTCATAAATTCCACCACAAATAAATATTGTTTTTAGATTTAACGAAAATATTGTCAAACGTCAGATTCGAGAATGTGACATATGGATCGATAAAGAAATTGGAAGATCTTCTGAAAGAAACCGGAAATTCCGAAAACTGCCAGGAGAAGATGATCGTATTGAAACCTCCTATTGTCGTAGATGAATTATCTTTTAACAGTATAAACGATAACATGTCGTACGATGAATTCTCGAACAGTGTGAACGAAACGTTCCAAAACATTATTCTGGAGAACATAACAACTGAAACATTAATGTCTAACGAGATTGCACCTAAAGTTATCAATGGCGTTAATTTCACAGATTTCATTAAAAATCTGGAATCATTGAATAATATAACAGATTACTCGATAGATGATTTGGAAACTGACAATTTGGACGTGAAATTTATCAATGAAATGTCACTGGATGAAATTAATGACCTGATAGGTAGTATGAACATGTTGTTAGAGGACATTTCTAATAGAAACGCGAGTCTAGAGTCCCTTCGAGTCACTGGGAAGATCAAAGTCAATCTGATCAATGGAATAGTCCTGAAGGACCTCTACAAAGAAAATCATACTGTGATCTTCAAAGATGACGTTAATATAGGAAAGTTAACGATCCTTGGATATTTAAATGGCTTCAACTTTACGGAAAATGTCTTGGATACGGTACTGAAGACTGATACAGATATTGTAATACATGGACATAAGACATTTGAAACTGTGAACTGTAACGAATTTGAGGTGGCTACTTTAAATGATCATCCTTTAGAGAACATTTTCGATCCTACGAAGGACCAAGTGCTGTCTGGTTCTGTGATAGCAAATGGTAAATAGAAAGTTTGTGTGATTTAAGTTTCAAGATTAATTATTAATGATTATTATTAGTATTATTATTTATCAGTTAGATTAATTATTTCGCTAAGATGTAGCACTGTAAGTACATATTAAGATTCATTTTAGATTTATTAATAATTACTATAACTAATAATTATTATTATCATTAATAACTTCCTTAATCTACAATATAATACATAGAAAATTTTGATGTATCACATAAGTATTTTTTTTTTCTAAGGAACTGTGACGGTTCTGAAAAATTTCCACGCAACCGGAAGTATAGACAACATCAAATTCCAAGACTTGATGGACAGATTCAAGTTCCTAGGGAACAACAGCTATGAATTTCATGGGAACGTTCGTTTCCAGGAAAATGTATCGGTTGAAAATCTCATTGCAAACGGGACGATTCAAGGCATAGACTTCGATAGTTTTCTTAAAACGACAATTTCCAAAAACGAAGACAACGTCACCATTTCCGGCACGAAAGTGTTCGAAAATTCTGTCACCTTCAATAATAAGTTCACCGTGCATGAAAAATTGAATGACATCAATCTGAAGAATTTCTGGGAGAACGTAGTTTTCATTGACAAACCGTTTTCCATCAAATCGAAGATTTTCTTCAAAGATGGTATTAAAGTTGAGAGGGATTTAATCGTTGAAAAAGATCTCGAAGCACAATCCATCATGGGAATCGACATAAGCGAACTGAAACTTGGTATTCTGTATTCGGACAGGCCTAATTATATTAAAGGTAATTCTATTACTTTTACACTGTGCTTTTTGCAACCTGGATTTAAAATACTTTTATATCCTGTTTGCAGAGTCCATTGAGCTAACTAATGTTACCTTTAATGAAGATATTGAATTGAATAATATTAATGGCTTGAACATGAGGCTACTGATATCGTTGAAAAATGAGCAGACCATACCAGTCGAAGTGCTCAAATGTCGAAACGTCACTGTTGACAATTACCAAGTTTTGGGAAAAATTAACGATGAGAGTTTGGATACAGTTCAAGAGACGACATTCATGGTACGTAACCCAAAATTAGTGGAATATTCATTTAACGACCTTCTTTGATCTTGAAATTTCTTTGAGGTTTCCGTTACAACCAGAATAATTAATCGAAGATAAATACTTTATTTAAACGAATTGTTTAAAATACCTGCTAATGTTAAGAAACATTTAGTAAATTTTTAAATTTGTGAAATTGAATATTTTTGGTTTTTTCTAGAAAACTGGCAATCAGAACATCACGGGACACATCAATTTCAAGGGTCACGTCCACACTCGTCGTGATTTTAACGCGCGCTTCATCAATGGCATCGATCCAACTCGAGTAATTCCCTTAAATTCGAAGAGCACGTTGGAAGGTGATTATTAGAGGTCCACATCAACGAATCATTTGTTGAAAAACTAGTTGTACCAGGTGATTAACATTTCAGGCAACTTTAAATTCGAGAAGCCAGTAATTCTGAACCAAAGTCTCCGAGTGTTGGGTAGTTTGAATGGTATAGATCCTAATCGTTGGGAAGCTACCGCTGTGAAGGCGAGTAATTTCATGCCGCAGATTATTACTGGTAACTGGACGATAAATGGTAGCGTGTATTTTGAGAATAGAGTTACTGGAAGTAATGTTTTAAATGGCACCAGGATTGATCAACTGGCGGACACCTTGGGAAAGAGACATTTGGAGATGGACGCTTTGATATCGGAAACATATGTACGATGAGTCTCTCTTTATATAAATTTCATTATAGTATTAGATTTATAATATATTTAATACCAATTATTAATGTAAATATGAAATAATAACTAATTAATACTGTAAATGTTAATATATTATCACTTAATATAGCAAATATTAATAAATAATTAATTACTACTATAAATATTAATTGATAATCGATGAATATCGGAAATATTAAGTACTCATTAATTAATACTATAAATAATAATTAATGTGTTAGTGTTAATCATATAATGAATTAGTATTAATATTTTGGATTCCTCAGTTATCGAAATTCTCCAACTTTTACAGGAAAGCCTGGACAGCATATGCCTGGATCTAAAACACCTAAAGCATTACTCCGAGAAACAAATATACAGGTTCAGCTCGTTCGACTATCTGCAGGTCATCGAGTTCGACAACCGTATTGTCAGTCTGCACCACTTCGAGCTGGAGGGCTTGGACTATCTGATGATAAGCTACAGTACCTGCCATATGCACACGTACTTGTTCACCGGGAAGAAATTCGAGTTGGTCGCTAACGTGCCTAATTTCGGAATAATTGATCGATGGACTACATTTAGGCACAACGGCTCTGTCTATTTTCTCACTTCAGGAACGCAAGACTGCGGAAAAAACTACACAAATTTGTGGAAACTCGAACACGAAGAGTTCACAGTGAGATTTCTTCTTTTGAAAGAAAATAAAAACTGGTTCATGTACTTTATCGCGGTTTATCTATTTCTTGCAGCATGTCTCGAGTCTAGGTCACAAGATAGGTAGTAGAAAGGTGGACGAACAGGTTCTTCTGATGATGATTGATCGAAAAGACGAGAAACGATCCTCGAAAACAGCTAATGAAGACCTGGAGAAGGTTATGTTGTCCCTAGCAGGTGACGATGACGTGAAAACCATTTTGCAGGACGACCATCTGCTGCTGAATAGCAAGCAGAGGTCTTACGAGTACGATGTCGGTAAAACGAGGAATACAATTGTTGAAAGAAGGTCTGGGAATCCGGAAATTTTTCATTTTAAAGCGGGAGTGTTCGAGAAAGAGATGTTCTTGTACTACGATGAGGACGTTAGCGAGGATCGAATATTCGTGAGTTGAATGTCACTCACTGAAAAGTTTCGATTTAGAATATGGGGGACATGAATGTTATTTATATATTATACATTGAAACAGAAAATTATTTCTCTGGTTATTTATCTATTTATTAACTTTGTAGATTTACAACAATAATGAGCCACGTAAGATTCTCCAGACCATAAAAGCTTACAAGCCAACATCATTCGCGGTTCTTAATTTCGAAGGAAATGTCGAGACACTCTTACTTTTCGTTGAAAATAAAAAGTATCTTCGAATGTATGAGTACAGAGGTAACAAGTTCAATTTCAAATAAAATTTCCATTTGATCATATTATTTCAAAATATGTTCGAAATGGTAAGTTCTTTAATTTTTCGTGAAACACGGTTACATTTTGCAGGCGTAAAAGGCTTCACGTATAGGGACAATATTATAATAGACATCGATAAGTTACTCAGCTTCAAAATTCGCAAGTATGATAACTTAGCAAAGCGCCAGCATCTTGCTTTGATCCACGAGAATCGATTGACAATATTGGAGGCGAATATGTATGGCGAGAAAACTGATATGGATTGGTTAACGTGTTAAAAGATTAATACTTTCACTATTATCATCAGTATAAACAGAATAGATATTAAAAATATCGATAAAGTAGTAATTTATTTATATTTAGAATTATTTATAGGAGTTTCCTATACGTTATTTATAGAGGTACTTATAGAGCTGTCATTTATAAAGTTTTGTACAAATCTGTTAGCAAGTAATTGCAAATATCATAATGGCGTTACGTTATAAATAAATACTGTATAATTGTCTGTAATTATCATAATATTCCTATTAGTGAAACTGTCAAACGGAAAAGTTGTTTTTCAATAAACACCTCCTAATCGTTTCGCCTTGTAAAAGGCAATAATCTCTTCGTCAATTTCCGGGTCACCTGTCAGAGGAAGCGAGGCCTCGAAGCTGTCATTATTCGTGTCACTCTCCGATTTTTTATTCGAACATTCCTTAGTTTTAGTCGTCGCACTAAAAAAATTTGATGTTTCCGGCCAGTCAGGCGTGAAACTGCGAACACTTAACTTTCTACCGCTTCTTTTACTTCTATTATCTTCCATTTCGCTATTGGGAGAATACACAACGCTTCTGGTGGAATGTGTTTTCGCGTCTTTCTCTTCGTTGCAAATAACGCTTGCTTCGAGCGGTTCTGTGAAACTTCGCGAGGTCACATTATCAACGAATCTATCAATATTTTGTAAATGACTAGAAGTAGATCTTGAGGAAATTGAAAAATTGAAATTATCATTTTTGATAGTGGGTACTTTGAATTCTTTTCGAGTACTAAAGCTATTTGAGTTCGAATTTGGTTCTATACTCTGGAATGTATCATCTGAGTGCATAAATGTTGAGAAATTCTTATTAGCATGAAATATGTTGTTCAATTTCAAGTCATAATTCTGTGCACGTGAATTCAATTCGGAATTCTGATCTTCAAAAGTAATTTTTAAAGGTATGGATTCAGTTGTGCATAATTCTATAGTTGATGGTGATTTAATTTGATTTCGAGGCACATTGAAACTCAACATTTTTTGATAGAATGGAATTGAGTGGTCGCTTTGGGTGACAGAATTTTCTGCTTTAATATTCTGGGAGTGACAGCTAGAATTCCCCTCATTTCCTTCGTTAATTGCGGCTGCTGATCGCGGACTACACCTTAATCGAACATTCTTTATCGTTGAGCTTTTAATTTCACTATTTTGGAATTGTGTTTTCTCACGTTTATGAACGAATTGCTGAGTTTCTTCATGTATATGTGCTTTACTTTTGTTAGATACTAAATTGTCTAAACTTAGATTAACAACGTTGCAGTTTAATAATTGTGGTTTTATATTATCCACAGAAATATGTTTATTTGTTGAAACTTGATCAAATGAACTTCTTCTGGTATTAATTTTTAATGCAGTGCTAATGGGGCTGGTGATACGTTCATTAATAAAATTTTTGTTAAAATTGCTTTTACTTTCGTCAGTGATAATACTCTGTAAATTATGATTAATATGACTTTGAATAGTTGATTTTGAATTTTTACATTTTTTCTTGTGCTTTTTTGGAAGAATGTGGTTGGAGATTGAAATTAGTTTGTCCACATTTATTTCGATATCTTTTACGTTCATTGTACGATTTTCTGAGACAGTTGTTAGTTGACTTTGACTATTTAAATTTTCAGTAAGTTGTGCAGTAGCTGAAATTAAATGTACTGTTATTTAAAAATAATTAATAGAATTTGTTTATGTTGAAGTATTTAAAATTACATGGTTCAACGGAATCATTCGTTTCAGCGTTATATTTAACATCTTCAGAAGTATCATTCAAAGTCAATGATCTATCAGTGAACATTAAGTTACTTTCCACGTTGCCATTTAATTCTAACAAAAATTAATATTGTTTCATAATAGAACAAACGATAAAAATGAAGGTAGATAAATAAGTCATTGAAAGAACCTTCCTTCAGGATGTACTGTCTTTTCCTCTTTTCCTTTCTCAGCAGATTGATTAACAGTGCTATGTTTGTCTCAGGAAGTTATCATATAATTACTGAATCTCATAAGCAATTTTTTCATGTTTAACAAAAATATTCATAGAGAACCTTTAATAGAAGAATTCAACAGAAGAACAGAGAAGACACAAATTAAAATGATGATGATTAGGATACAAATTTCCTTGTCTCTCTGATCAACCAAGTCCTTATAATACTTTAATTTTTGTAAGCAACTCTTTGGATCTCTGCTCAATTGGAAAGTTCTCCTAAAACTTTCGAAACAGTACTCGATACTCTTTGGATTATAACTCCAACAGATAATAGCTTTTGATTCTAGAAAATTTCTAATTTGAGCATCCAATTTCCGTTTATCCTCAGCTGTGAGTTCTTCAGATTGCTGTTTGTGGAACAATAAATAAATCATTATTTAATTTTCGTACTCTGACACGTATTATAAAAAATACTGCAAGAGTATACAGTTCGACCAGCCATCGTTCTAATTTGCTGCTTCAGTCTCTCGTTTTCTAGCTTGAGCAACGCGTTCTCGCTTTGAATGCTTGTCTCCAGAACCAGTTTCACGTCATTTTTAATCAGAGCTACCCTTTGAGCGAATCTACACGTGGAAATGGTCTCCTGGCGAGGCAAAAATTAATTAATGATTTCTCTTAAGCACAAGAAACAAGAGAAATTTATTCGGTACCTCTAAATTCCAAGATGCGACACTTAAGTTGGCCAACATGGCGGTCATGCAGTTTCCGCCCAAACTGTCTCTTAAAATCGACGTTAAACACGAATTTCTAAATATATGAATAACAATAATTACGTATAAATACTGATAGTAGTAAAAACGTTGAAACACGGCAACTACCAATAACAAATTTTAACGCTAGACCGCAATAAATAATTTTAATTTTCCAATTCTGCAATTACTAATATTCTAAAGCAAACTTATTAAAATATACTCTTGCAATTTCACTAAGAAATGCATATCAATCGCATGAAATACTCGTTGTTATTAATTGTGCTGCCAACAATCTCTTCTGTCATAAATGCATACTCATTATCCTATTATTATTTGTTTACGTCTGTTGCGCATTAATAGTCTCGTATAATATTGAATCTGTCTTATCGCAAGATAAATGTGTTCATCAATAAGATCGCAGCATCAAATAACCAATCGAAAACTACAAATAACCACGTCAATCTTGTTAGGGGAACACAGTACCTGTACGGAATGTGACTAACGCTCTCCTGACCCAGACACACTATGACTTGCTCCAGGTAATGTAGGCTCAGGTTAATGTGTTTCGCCTCGGTCAGAATGGTGTCGGTTATAGAGCATTTGTAGACTCGTTCGGACCTATAGAAAATACCACGCTGAAAAATCGCTGTACCGTTACAAAATTTGCCATCCCGTCCGTCCGTGAAAGCCAACGGCAACGGAACGCGGTGCGGAAAAATGGCGGCGCAGCGCGGCGCGTCGGTCAAGTGGGTCGAGCGCGCGGCACTGATGATGTAATTGCGACAAGTTTGCCCGGGGAATGCGGGATGCTTGTCAGCGCGTTTATTTCCTTAACGCGGCATCAGGAGTCAACGCCTGATTAAAGTTCCTTTGGCTATCTTGATCGCTGCTGGTTGCAATCGAGACGGTTCGCGGAGAAAAAATGGCGGAAGCGTGCGTGCGTGCACCGTTCTTTTACTCGATTTCTGGAAAACATGTGTTTCTTCCTTAATTTAATTTTTTTAGTGGGAAGTACTGGGAATAGATCGTGTTCCGTGGACATTTGTCCAATTATTTAGCGTTCCTTCTCGTCTGTTCTGTTAATTATTGTATTGTGATGTGTTAGGTTGTTAAAATTCATTTGATACTGGTGGGTTAAACTACATAAAATAATATTCTTTCGGTTACTGGTCAATGAGCTTCAAATGCACAGTAATTATCAATCTAATAAACGCTTGATTATGATACTTCGTTATAGCAATCTTTATAGCGGGTCGTCTATATTCAGGAACTAGCTGTCTGTTTCCCGTAGTCCGTTGCCCTTGTACCTTCAGTCGATACGAGAACCGGCGAGATATACGAACCCAGCTAGATCCACCAGGTGTACTTTCGCTCGCTTATAGTGATCAGCGCCAAATTCCTTCATAGAGAGCACGATGGTAAAGATGCAGTGCGATCTTGATGACTGGGGGTTCATTGGAGTCTCTGTAGTAACCCTGCAAAAATGTTTGTTAAATTTATACGAAAATATTCATAGAGTGCCTTTAATTCGTGATTTCTTATTATCGAAAGTAAAAGCAATCAAAAAGTTTCAATCTATTATCAAAATATAGATTAACGATAGTGATAATGAATCGTCTATAAATCAAAATGATTTTTAAGGTATAAATTGTAATAGATTATTTATATTATCAAAGTTTCAGTTGTTCAGTTGTTCAATTGTTTAATCGTTCGATTATTGAGTTATTTACCTATTTAGTTATGTAAATGCTTAATTATTTAGTTATTTCTCTATTTAAAGGATAATATGACCACAATCCCCAAAAACGGGCATACCGATTCCTATCGCCCACCAAAAGCAGCTCGTAAGCATCCTCCAAGCATCCGACCGTATGAAAGCCAAGATTCTTCAAATGCAACTGGCCATTCTCGTCTTCCTGAATAGTCACCCGACTGAAACGCATCGGGAAATCATTAAAATGATTCCCTCCTCGCAGGTAGCGGGGGATCAATCGACGATCGCTCGAAACTCGCGTGCAACAGATGCGATCAGAAAGTTCGCGGATTACGTAAAACGTATTCCTAGCTGATTAATCGGACTTCCGCTGTCAGCAGCCGGGAAAATGCTGATTAATCGAGTCCATGCTAGGAAAAATATTCGCGTTCGAACGAGGCGGCGGCTCTCGGTGTTCCTCGAAGCGATTGGCTCGCGTTGGGCAATATATCAAACGCGATAAGGATCTTTCCTATGAATTTTCCTGCGTGTTTACGCGCGGAACAAACAGACCGAACGGCAAAAAAATACCGCGACTCATTATGCTTTTAACCCAGCCGCGAATTCCAATAGTTGTCTCGAAGTGAAACTGAACACACGGAGTTCCGCATTTGCGCGACTACACCCGCATTGTTAAAGACAGGGTCTGCTTAACTCTACGGAGTCATCGATCCCTTGTCGATTTACCACATTCGCAAAACTAACCATTTCGTTATTAACTTTCTAATGAGAAAGAAAGTAACATATTCACTTCCAAAGACAGCATTACTTTTATACCAAGTTACGCATTGTTCCACTACATTCAATAATGAACAACGATGTTCAATTACTCCACAGCTATGCTACTCAAATACGAATAAAAGAACGTTAATTAGACATTCTATTAACCCTTTGTAGGCCCGTGTAACTTTGAAGTCACATATCAATATATTGGCATCCTGTTAATTTATTTCATTTTTCACGGCAAAGTGGTGAATAAAATTAAGTAATCAGTTAACTTGAACTTTTATACTCTCAGGCGTGAAAGTTCAATGTCATTCCAATTTGAAGGATACAAAATATATTAATTTAATAAAATTATTCAAACTATTGAATACATTGTTAATTCGTTTTCATAGATGCATATTCGTTAATTTCGTATGGCAGATATATTGTTATAATCATGAAACATAATTTGGCGTTCAAAATACACAATTATAAAACAGATTAACTCGAATATACAAAATTCCACTGTGAAACCCTCGTAGTTAACCCTTCACCCCACGATTTCTTTCGCAACCACGTTGCTATTTTATCCTTACCAATTTATTAGAGGAGAAAGGAATTTGATTTCACTGTAAGCCAACATCTGTTCGGCACACTCGATATTGATAACGGGAAAATGATACTGTGTTTCGACCGAAAAGTATTACTAGTATTCAGATTTGTCAATGCGAAACCCGTGCCAGCGAGCCCCGTTCGAGAACCGTAAGCCGAAAGGTTAATAGAGTCCGTAGTTTGGATCATTGAAATTCGCCCGCGACGAAAGGCAAACGACTAGAAACTAGGAAGGAATAGAGCGGTTGCGAGTGTTGTGTTCCGTATTAGAACTAGGCTGGAATCACAGCCGAACACGTAAGTTTCCCTTAAAGGTGGCAGCCTTTTTTCCTTACGAAATCCGCGGGTATCCGCGTCCGCGAATCTCGGGCTGCCGCCATTTACGTCACATGGACTTACGGTAAATCTTCCAATCTTGTAACTGCGAGCTCTCGTTGCCGCCTATCCAGCAGGTCGTAGCCGTTCTCGTTGTAAATCTCCAGAAAAGCCACCTCGACGGTGTACACGTTCTCCGGCTGCTGCGCGGAAGTTTAAGGGCGTAAGCAGCGTTCGCGGATACCTTCGACTCGCTGGGACACGGGTCGGCAACCTGCTACTATTTCATCCTAAATCTGTGCCTCTTTGCACTATAATAATTCAAGTTGAACTAAAATAATTTCATTTTAACACATCGTTCGCTGGTATTATAGGATTCTTAGTCTATCTCTTGACCACTAATCCTTCATTGTTGCAACGTTTTAGATACGTATAATACAAATGCAACATGATGTTAAAAAACCGTATTCTTTCGTGTAGTTCCTTGTAGAAGCTTTCAAATAAATTTAAGGGAAAATGACACTTTATTGGGAGAAGGTTGCCGACCCCTGCGTTAGGACAACCCTAACCTTTCCGATGATGTCGAACAGGTACTGCAGGCACCTGGGTATGATGCCGCGGTCCTCGCGTCTTCCTTGATCGCCGATTATCGAGTACGTTTTTCCACTGGCCGTCTGTGAAATTTGAGATTGCGGAAAGAGGAGAAGAGATGACGATGGTTTGATACTCGAGAATATTTTGATGAATGCAGAGAATATTTAAATGTAAGTGGTAATTTATATTTTAAATTAATTTAAATAGTTTAGCTTAATGATTTGACTGGGGTAGTTTCTTAATGGATCTTTTAATGTTTTGAAGTGAAAATTGAATGTCTAAATATTTAATATTGTGGTTATTAAAATTATTATTATTACAGTGTTATATTCTTAATAATATAATATTACGTAATAGAAGATTAACGATTCCATGGGGAATTTATGAGTTGATAAGTTCACTGAACCATTTATTAGAAGATTACCTGACCATAAGCGAAAATGGTCCCGTTGTAGCCGTCCAGGGCGCTTTAATAAACGAAATCGCAACAGACGTGAACGAACAACCGCGGGGCGAGCCTGTTCCGCGTTAATTAACGAACGATACGGTTCCTTTTACCTTTCCATTACCGGCCGCGCCACGTTCTCGAAGACGTCCTCCTGGGACGCGGATTCCTCGAACACTCGGAAGAAACTGAAAGTTTCGAGTGCCTCGTAAATGGTAACAGGAATACCGGACGGATCGCGACGTCGCGATAACTCACGAGTAATTCCATGACTCCGGACGATTGTCCGGATAGTCCTTCGTTTTTTGCGTCCGGGACAGGAGGATCAAGAAATCTTCGTTCGGATTCTCGTCGGGATGACGATGCACTTTGTAGTTCTTGAAAGAACGCGAACAAGATCGATAAGCATGCGATGAAATTTCTAGGTTAATAGATGGCAGCATATAAAGGATTCTTCATTTTATATTCTCCGGGTGATGTGTAAAGGAATTTTAATCGGGCACTTGTAAAATGGAAGACACATCGTTTAATCGTCGTGCCAGTTTCCTTTATTTGCCATTTCCTTTTACTTGTACCAGTTAACATTCTTTTAAATTTCATTTTCAGAGCATAAACCGAAGAATCTACGCTGGGATGGAGATATTTAAATGTTCACGCGGATGCGCGGCGGATTTACATAAATAAACGTGTGTACCATTGCATTCTTCCGGTTCATTTCCGGTCTTAATCTCGCATAGACTTTGATCGCATTCTTGACCATCTCGCTCGTGTAACCTGTTCACCTACTATCGGAAAGGAAGCTGGTGTTTATTGATCGATGACGGACGATCGGTTATCGGCTACTTTCGAAACGAATGCCCCATGCTCCATCAGTGACACTGGATTTCTAACTAGCAAGTGGTAATTGCTTGGCGCGGATCATCGGCCAGGTGAAATCACCGCAACAGTATTTACCGTATTCTATTTACTTATTATATAGGTGATCGGAGTGAAGTGGGTAATTTGTAATTAGCAGCCGACGGCTACTTTCATTACACGTATCGGGGCTCGAAGCTTAAACGGGCGACAGGAAGAAATCGATTGCGAAAAGACTTATCGAAACGGCAACAATATTTACTGTTTTATTTACGTATTATGTAGGTGATCGGAGTAAAGTAGGTGATTTATAATTACCGGGTACTTTCATTACACGCATCGAGCTTAAGCTTGAACGTTTGGAAGAAATTGATCGCTCCTGGAACCTGTTTCCTCAAAAGATAATGGGAATAATTTGAATCAAGGCGAGCGGAATTAAATATTAATCTTCTTGTAATATACTCAATTACTATGCGATATTTCACTCTTTTTTATGCTAATCAATTCACTACTGAACTACATAAACTCCTCGACGAAATACAAAACTAACTCTTTCGAAAGTATTAAAAACAAAAGAATGACGTAGTAGAAAGATGAATTAAGACTAATAATAACAATAACAACAAGAAGAAAACATTAATAATTTGCATTAGAAAATCAATCAGTAGTAAACATAAACGAAAAATCAATATTCTAAAAATCTATAATCCAGGATCACCAGGTACCACGAATCCAACATCAATAATACATCTAACAATACAAATTCCAAATTTCTCTTGAAACACTGTCAAAGCATCGAACTATCAAAATTACCATTCAACCCCTGCACAACACTAGTGGCGCTGTCAAGTATTCCAAGAATTCCAAGGATCATAGATGAAACGAAACAACATAGAGACCGCAAATCCCCAGAACTTCCTCCCTCTCATCTCGATATCTCGAGCGAGGTCGCGGAAACGGTTCGATTGATCGATCCACCCTCCTCGTTCGAGGAGGGAAAGTAGCGAACCAGAGAGAAAGAGAGAAAGAGAAAACCGTGAGCGCGAGAGGCGTAGGAGAGCGAGAGGTCGCGGTCGCCTAGGCGACGACGTCGTCGTCGTCGCGACGTCGGCGCAGTGCGTCGCCGTGTTGGGAGAGCCGCGCCGGGTCGTCGGTCTACACGATGGCAGGCCAGTGTCCCGACTTTTCTCGGCTTTCGCGTTGTTCCTTGTCGTGCCATCCGTCGCGCGTTACCCGACGTCATCCCGACGCCGTCGTCGCGGTCAGACGCTAGCGTCGCGGCGACGAGACCAAAAGCCGACAGATAAAACGAGGAAAGAAACGAACCCAGGAACGACGAAGACGAGAATCGTTCCTCTCCCGCAAAGGGGACGTCGATCGATGTCCCTTGGCCGGTTTGATCGTTCGTCGCGGACGACGATCCCCGTTGTCACAGGGACTCCTTCGTACCAGTAAAACCGGTGACTCGGATATTACGTGCCTTCCCATTGGTGACCAACGCCTATCCGCGATTGTTACCTGGATACTCATCTTAGAGGATCCTGTAGACTCTGCCTTGGAGAATCATGGGATTAAGGGATTTTCCTGGTCACCTGTGAAGCTGATTTTCGAGTAAATTGATAAAGGTTGCAAGAGGAGTTATCAATGCTGTGGATACTCATACCCTATCTTAGAGGATTCGTGGATTGTATTGGTTATATGTGAAGCTGAATTTGGAGTAGATTGATAAGAAAGACTGCAGGAAGAGCTACCGTTAACCTGGATATTTTACATCGTATTCTATCTTAGAGGATCAGAGGGTTAGAGGATTGGTCTGGTTACCTATGAAGATTTTCGAGTGATGCTATAAAGGACGTTGCAAGATCTTCCGAGCTGAATGATCGATCAGGCTGATGCGGGCGTTTCGCAGGCATGCCCGCCAATCTAGGGAACACCGCCGCGTGAGAAGCTGCCGGGACATGTGCCTTTTGGCCTCCTATTGATCGGTGCGTCCCGACGCGACCACCGGATCCTGACGTTTCGGGATCACGGGCTACTACAACCGGTAATGTATTCTGCTAGATGTCTTAGACTTTGTTTAGAACTTCAATTTAGGCGACTGTTCAAATCAGTCGGATTGATGGGAACAGGAAATTCGAGGTTTGTGATCATCGCGGTGGAAATATTTCCTTTTTCATTGGGTCATTGTACCTTGCGTGACACTGTAGCTATACTTCACACCGCACCGACTGCCATTCCGGTATATGTGCAACGGTGCTTTATTTTAAGAGTACACACACTTTGATTTACAGGCTGGCTTGTAAACGGGTGGTACGACTGGGAAGAGGATGATTCTACATGGGGAAATAAAATGGATTTTTGCTTGATGATCTCTTGTGTCTGGGGAGAGTCTGTGGAGCACACGTGCAGTTGATTAATTCGAATAGATGGGATTGAAGTAATTAGTAGTATGTTGTTATACCTGGAAAATGAAGAAAAATGTGAGGAAAAATCTCTCTCTATTGGAAACTTCGTTTCCGAGGAAATTCAGTTTGACAGTTTGTTGAACACGGTTGTGCTCTGTTAACTGTCGATGGGGTATAACTCGATTTTCTTTGAAGTGAAAGGAAACTTCAAATAGGAAAGAATCTCTTTCACATTTTTTACTTGGAGAACAACTCTTTGTCGATTTTATTCATTTAAAAGGTAGCTAAGCGCAGATGTGCTCTACAAATATTTTAGCCCATTTTTGTTCAAAATGAAATGTATATTATAGATTGAAAATAGTTTCTTTTACACGTTTTATTCACTTCTCCATGTAGATTCATAATCTTCCAAGTCAAACATTATTATCGACACCACAAGAGATGAAGTTATACCGTGACACAAATCATCAAAAAATAAATCATGTAATTATGATTTTATCAGCTGGCAACCCCAGTGTTTCATGCAGCAGTAAACGTGTCAACCGTTGATGGAACAGCATCGACAATAAGCGCCGCCATTAGAATAAATTTCACACAGCTTTTTAGTGCTTTGGAAACTACCTTAACACTCTGCTTCTGATTGAAGTGATAGGCGTTGGGAGTGACGTTCGTAAAATGGTATTTGAAGGTTCATCCTCTCAATAGATGGCAATAAATCCTCGAGTTCTCTCCATGAAGCGAATATATTACACAATTGGAATATAAGTATGTAAAGGGGCGTGTTGCTAGTTGTAAATCAGAGGTAGTAGTCGATCATGACAAGGATCGAAATCAATGGTACGCGAAATTCGGCATATAGGGCATCTGAACTAGCGATAGACTTGATACTAATATACCTCATGAAGTTCTTAATGAAATTGAAACTAAGAAATTAGAATTCTTCGTAATAATTACTCTCTTGACCTTCTTGCACCTTATAGATCCAGCAAAATTCAATTTTTCAGATGTATTATACAAAACATTCATTTTTAAGCGTATACAAACAATTATGTCACACGAATTTATGTGATAGACAAAGTGTTAAGAAATACAATGCTCAAGTATTGCTCTGGAATGTTCGATACAGAACATTATATAATATCATTATACAATATAATGTTATATAATAATATGAGAAAGTTGTTTGTTTGACTACCATTTAATACGAGCAATATCAAAATAAGAGCTGAAACGATATTGGAACTTAAATTAAATGAAATGTTATTTGAAATGACAAATAACGACGACAGAAACAATTGTACTACGACGCAGTATTAAAGATAATGAAATTTGAATCAGTGAAAGTGATAGAAAAAGATAGAGGAAGTAACGAAAGTATTGTATAAGTACAGTTACGAATTTAAAACGTGCTCGTGAGAGATTGAGGCTACTGAGTATGTATCTTCTAGATGTCGATACTTTTAACATCTATGCATTTATATATAAACACTTGTGATACTTCGTCACTAGGTATCAATATAATTTGAGCAATATTTATTTCCCACCACTAGTATACCAGAACTACCAAACAAATTGGCCCATTTTGGCTTCCTTTTTCCACAACTATTCCAAAAATAAACGCACATTTCTAAGAAACTGTTTAATAAACTGGCCCATTAATGTGTATTCCAAAATATAAATCGCTCAAAATCTTAATAAATGAATTTTATTCATTTGCATACGGAAATGCATGTTAGGTAATTGAACTGCTTGATAGTACTAGTAGTAAACAGTGAACAGGATCGCGATTCCACGGAGTTAATGCCCGGAGAATCGCTGAAATTACGTAACGATGATCGACGGTTTCCTATCGCAGCTACGAACGATCGTTCACCGGGTTCAGCTCGATCTTTGGCAGAACCAGTCGGCCGGACGATGATTTCATGATCAGGGTCACGGATTCTATTTTCTCCGTGTATATCCAAATATATTCTTCCGAGCGCAAATAAGAGCCTCGGCAGTCACGTTCGGACGCATAATGCGCCGGCGACGTGACAGATTGTAAAAGTTACATGCCGAGGAGAACTGAGAATCTATGTCAATGACTGCGGATACTCGAGTCGTCGATGACGACTCGTTAGAACGTAATGGATGGTTATTGTACTCTGCATATCTCATTGATTTCGCAATTTTCTAAGATTTTCCAGTTTGAAAATCGAAACAAGATTTTTCGCTAGTTTTTATTTTAAATCAATAATTCTTCCATTGAAAAGATTACTTTGTTACAGATTTAACGGATACCTAAATATTTTTGAAATTTTTGAATAGGTTTATTCGACTTGTGTCATTAATTGAATACGAGTGTAATGAACTCTTTTCAACTTTTAACGTTATCTCACATAAAAATAAATGGAGTGTATTATTGTGGAATATAATATATATTTGCTATGGTAATTATGTGATAGGTAGTTGGAAGGGAAGCGTTTATTTCTTCAAAGCAAACATTTTTATTAGCAACATTTTTCTTTTAAGTAATTACTCGCTACGCGGAGATAGTTTAAATTAGATTTAATAAATATGAATACTATTCAGTCCATATGAATGAAAGAATTATTAACTATCAGTTGCGAATAGTTAACCTATATAATAAACGAACGCTTACAGCGAACGTATAGTTCTTTATTCTAACAGGGATTTTTCAAGAATAATATAATTTCGCTTAGACGGTTGTTAAGGGAACCATCGGACGAGAGGCTAATAAATAAATTGCATTTAAATTTCAAGTTCGATAGAGATTTCCAGCAATAAAGACCCCGGCAACTTAGCATCAAATAGTCTCCGGGGAAAAAGAAAATGTTCGTTTCTGCAGGAAAAATGACAGCGTGATTTTTTATCCATCGGTGTAACCATGAATTCAGATTGACCGATTGCGTTCATAAAATGGAAAATATGTAGTTCGCGGATGAACATGTAATAATAAAATCTCCGCGTTTCCTCGCAAGAAAATCCTGCTCTCATCCGTAACAACCTGTCATTACCTGTCGTCAGGACGGTTTCCCATTCATAAACAACGGGTCTCCTCCCAATTAGTCAGCGGGATAAATCAGGAGCAGTCCGGTATCAAGTTCAGACGGCGATTTCATCGAAAAACGAGGAACGGCGAGCACGGTGTGCGCCGAAGTCCCGATATCGTTCGCGAATACAAATCGGAACGGTGCTCCGAGTGCAGGTTACCCGGAGAAAGTCGTAAATTTAGAACTCGAGAGCCGGGTGATTTAAACTGACGCTTAGCGAGGCCAGCGCCGACATCCGAGCAACGATTATAGTCGTTACATCAATCAGCCCGAACGAATGGACGTATAATCCCGGTAATAAGGATCGTTCGAGGGTAAAATCGGGACGATTCCCGAGCAAGGTTTCGCGATCTCGGCCCGCGATCGCGGACCGTGCATCCTCTTCCTGACTCCTCCTTTTTTTTCCTGGCCGAATAAAAGAACAGGGAACACTACGGGCAAGGTGTTTATATTTCTCGGCCGTCCGCGCAGACGGGGGGAGGCGAGATCGTTAGTTAGGCGGCGTTCAGACTGCTGTTCGTGAGCAGCTTGCAAAATGCTCGGGAATTAAAGAGGTTGGACGAAGTGGAAACACAGACAGTTTTCTAAGAATGATCTTACTCGCCTATTTTTCATTCAATTTTGTTTCTACAATTTTTTCTTTTAAGGAAGTGACATTTTAAATAAATATTAAGTTGTAGTGAGGTACATTTTTGTTATTAAATTGATTTATACTTTGAACGGTTAGTATATCCGGGTTAATATAGTATAGAACCAGTTTTCTGAGAATGAAATCATACAAATCTTGAATAATATTCCCTAACATATAATAATATTTACTATGCTAGATATGTAAATGATTCGCTGAACACTAAAACTACACGTACTTCAAAGCAAACGCGTTATTCAAAGTTTCCCCCCTCAATTTCACAGGCAAGTGCAGACACGAGATAAAACAATTCGTCCTCCTTTTAAGTTCTGTAAACATTGGCTGATAGGTCTATTATCGTTCACACCAAACGAGTATTTGTTCAGTTGTCGCGAAACACACCGTCAAACGATGTCCTCGCGAGTTCGACATATTTGTAACACTGTTCGCAAGTGTTCTTAGTGAATTGAACGAGCAAACACTAAACCTGCAACTGTTCGTGGTGTATTAATAAGAGCTCGTCTAACTTCAACGTTGCTTTTCGTCAAGAGCAACTCGCGAACAGTTCCGTCCAGTCTGCACGCGGCCTTAGAAACCAGCATCAGCGACCGCGAACCTCTTTGAAGGCTATCCTGCGCCATCTGGAAACCTCGTTACGTTTAATTCGTCACGGATAATTAAGAGCCGAGTAAAAGTTACGCGAATCGACTGCAAGGTACCATTCCGATCGAAAGAAACCGTTCCAGTCGTGTCGGTACAGCGATCCAGAGGCAACCATCCTAAAAAATCATTAGTTTCCGCGTTCGATAGACCGGAAGCTGCGTGCAATGCGATCGACTTCCGGTTATTATTATTATAATTATTCTATTTAACGCGGCCTGTAATTACGCAGCTTACGTAACACCCGTTATGATCGCTGCCGTGTCGAGTAAATCATTATTTCCTTTATTGCACGGCT